TGTCACGGAATTAGACATCTTTAAAGAGTTTTTCCAGGCTCTTTGTTATAGTTTTATTGGTACAGATGGATGACGTTCAAGACTTGAACGTAACATGGCCATGGCAACCTCAAATATATTTGTCCATGAGGACAGAGAGATCCAGACAGATGGAGTCTGTTTTTCCTTCTTGTTCTTTGTAGCTACACTTGCTTTACCTGCTGAGCAGGTAAAGGATTGTCTGACTGTGGTGACAACGGGTCTCTCCCAGGCTCATTATCAGTAAGATTATTATTCAGGGTTTGTTATCTATACTACCCTCCACGAGATAACAACAAACTATGAAGCTAGGAATTCCGTCTCTTATGTGGCCCTAATTGCTGTAAGGCAGTATGGCATTGAAACACAACTTTACCAATATTTTATTAACAAAGCACCACCACCTAGAGACAAAGGGTCAATAAAAAATATGTTATGTAAACAACTTGCACCTCTTTTTTCGGCCACATGCTATTTTTAGTATCTAATTATTCCTGAATTGTTGTTTCAGTTCTGTTACTATGACTGGAATAATGACAGTGCAAGGTCACTGCATTCGCAGTCATTCTTCCAGTGCTGCCTGGTTATTGCTTGTTTGACTTCTGTTGTTTTGTTTTCACTATTTTGTTTGTTAACTCAATTATGACCAGTGTTCTTTTAACAGAGTGATACAACTAAGCTACTTCTCTCTTCTTTCTTTTTTTTGCAGCTGAGCAGCATCAGCAAAGCCATCAACTCCACAGAGACGCCTGTAAAGGAGAAACATGCCAGACGTATCCTTCAAAACAACTTTTCATCACAATGGAAATGTTTTTGATGATGTTGATGATGGAGACATGTTGACAATTATTCATGAGCAAATGTTAATTAACTTTAATACATTATATATTAATGTGGGCCCTTCTCTGTAGTTAAGTATGACTTGTGTTACTTGTGTTACTTATTAAGTTTAACAATAAAGGGTGGAAATAACTGATATTTGCAATACTCTCAGGCAGTGAAAGGCCTTTTAGTATTTTAGTATATATTCTAATATCATTTGATGCTTAGGCATTTCATTAATAAACTTGTTAAATATTATGATAAATATTCAAGTCACAGGCAAGAAGGCCGAGGGAAACAGTGAAGCTAAGTGATTTTTTTTAGAGTTTCTATTTCTTCAGGCTGCTCATTGGTGTACTGCATGCGCACTGGGGTACAATGCAATAGTAATTCATCTTTGTATGGATAATAAAAAGGAGTATCATCAGTTCAACATCTTTGCAAAAGTGCAAAAAATACACTTTGGTGGTTCTTTTAGCAGGAAGAAAGAATCAGGGAGAAAGGTGTTTGTGCAGTAGCCGCCATCTAACATATGTATGTATGTGCATCCTTAATGACTTAAACCACAGGAATCATCCTGGGCACTCACAGAGAGAAGGGAGCCTTCACTTTCTGGTCCTACGCTCTGGGCCTCCCTCTGGCCGGGAGCTCCATCCTCAGCTGGAAGTTCTGTCATGTGCTGCACAAAGTCCTGAGGGATGGCCACCGCAATGTAAGACAACAAGAGGCTTTGTATGAAAGCTGCTGTCAGTGATGTCATCTTCTGGCCACATTTAGACGATTACCTCTTTTATCAGTTAGATTTTGGTTAAATGAAAAGTGAAACACTTCATGACTCAAGATGAGTTCTTTACCAGCCCACTGTTTACGAGACAATAGCTGTGTAGGCAAACACTGGAGATCAATGAGAACTGTCATAACAGAGAGCAGCTTAAATTATTATTAAATTATGGAGCTTCTGATTGACAGCAACTTAAACTCCTCCTACGTGTTGGCATTTTACTGCCTTCTAAGTTGAGTTTTATTTTAAGGAAGATGATTACAAGGTAGAAAATCTTGACTGCAATTAAACCAAAAAATTAATATAATTATGTCTTCCCTTTTAATAATAAAGAAGGATAAAATGTACGAAAACATAAGCAATTAGACTTGTGTTCTTAAGTTAATGTTGATTCCGCACTCTCTCCCTATTCCCCGCACCAGCTAATGCTAAGCACAGGCTGATCTTTGTGGTAATTATACTTTGATATACAAATCACAAAGTTTTAGCATTAAAAATATTTAAATAGTAATCTAATTTCTAAAAACAAATCCTGTATATTCAACACGGCCCAGAAGCTGACCAGTGCTACAAGGGGTTCATTTACCTTCACAGGTTTTACAAGATTGCATGAGACATCACAGTACTATGGTGGAAGTAGGAAAACTCTGGGTGAGTCCTCTTTTGATTTATTTAAACTGATAGAATACAGACCTGAAATAAGAGAAGGAGAAAACCTCCAGTCAGCTGTGATATTTTTAACGGCTTATGTCCTACCCTTGATTTCCTTCTCTGCGGCCGCTGCTGCTGTGGCTTTCAGGGCAACCTCCATGATAGATATGGACAGTTGGTGGCTATGTACTCCAAGATGCTTTGTGTAAAAATGGAGTTTCATGTGAAGGTAAAAGTGCATTATGACGTGTGTATTTGAAAACTCGACAAAATGTCTAATTTTAAATTACCCCTAACTCTACATCATCACTATGCAGCATGCGGAGATCCCACCTAACCTGGAGGTAACAGACGAGGTCCTAGAGCGCACGGCAGGCACAGACATTAATAATGTGTGAGTTAGCAAACTATCCCAATGTAGGTTTTAAATAAATGTCCACTTTTATCGTTACCAACCATATCAGTTGATAACTGATAACTGAGTTGATAACCAGTTGTGTTGATAAAGTGTTTTTTAAAAATGCTGATTTTATTTCTGTAGGACTGCACTGCTATTGCTTCATTAATCTTTTAACAATGGTATCGACTTCTCTCCTGCAGGTTCCAGCTCACGGTGGAGGTGTTTGATTACATGGACTTAGAGCTGAGGCTGGCTGAGACAGGTGAGGCGGACAACTCCTCCCACTGTTTTCTCTTTCAAAGAGAAGAAACCTGAGCCGTCAGCAACCTGCTGACATTATCTATTTATGTCCAAGAGCTGACGTGGAAGTGTTATCAAGAACAGAAAACTGACCCCATAACCTAAGAAAAGGGTCATTTTATTTTTCTGGTCTTGTTGAAACTTGTGTTCCTCTGTGTTTTCCTTCTCCCATTGTTTTTACCCAAGGACATTAAGCTGATTTCCTACAGTTCTGATGTAATGGTATGCTGCATGGAGGACCTCATTGCAGCACCGTAAACAAATTTCATAGTGGTGCTCAGGATGAGGTTTTACTTTCAAGTCAGTATGTGTGCTTTACTAGTCTCAGCACTGTTTCAAAGTCAGTGGAGCAGGACCTCGATTCGTGTCACACCCTGTGGGTTCTGTTAGCTTCATGTAACACGAGAACCAAATGTGAAAACTAACTCTTATACAGTAAACAACTCTGTCAAATGTACACTGCATCTCTTCACTACAACACCAGGAGAATCTGCTTTCACACCAACATAACTTCCTGTAGATTCTCTAGGCGTTGTCTTAATGTTGTCAATGTGTTGAGACAGTTTTCAACTAAAGTCACCCTCGAGATTCTCCTAAAACCTTTTAAATGTGGTCCTGTGTTAATAGCTATTTGAGTGGATGAGAACAAAGCAAAGAAATAAAAGTGTTCCTGCTTGGTCTCTGTTAAAAATTCTTCCCAAAATCTTGAGGATTAAACATGAGTTGTGCTTTCCTTGTGTCTCTGACTTTGTCTGCAGTGATCCGACAGCTCAATTCGTCCATCGCCATCTCCTCGCTCACTTCTGGCCAGTGTCGCTTGGCTCCTCTTATCCAGGTTATCCAGGACTGCAGTCCCCTCTACCACTTCACTGTCAAACTACTGTTCAAGCTGCACGCCTGTAAGAACAGTTGTTGCTGTGTTTTTTTTTTTTAATAATTGAAAATAACTATATAAAGGGTTTTTTTGGTTTGTGTTATTTTAAAGAAAAAAAATTATGTTATATCTTGGATTTTAGGTCTCCCTGCCGATACCCTGCAAGGTCATCGCGACCGTTTCCATGGTCAGTTCCAAAGGTATGTTATCTAAGCCCTCAGGCTACAACTACAACAATGAGTGTGGAGCTATAGAGATGGATGGATTGTAAGTCTGCAACTTAATTGTTCTGCCTCACCTAGTCAATGATGCAAATTTTTTCATCTTTGCCCCCCCCCCCATTTATGTTGCAGAATCTCCTGCAAGTGCATTTAAGTACAAAATTGACATTGGATTTAGGACTACTTAAGACTAAGAACTGAGAATTAATCAAAAGTTACAAAATTGAGTGAAAAGTAACTTTTTTATTATATAAAAACACATTCAAATGTACCTCATGAAAAAACGTGGCCTTATTCTTTGCCTTGTGGGAAAGCATTATTATTATTGTTGTTATTACTAATATTGTTGACCACCTATTCAGTTGAGGTCCACTGACCTGTGTTAGGTCAAATTTAGTTACAGGGTTGAGTTAATTTTAGTTGGTTAGAAAAACATGCCACTTTTTATGCCACAATTATGTTTTCTACAATCTTATAAATACTTTTATGCAAGAAACAGCTTAGTCATCATTTCAACTCACATAGACACAATGGGAGTTTACATTTGATAAAGTTTAAAGTCCATTCTGATTTAATTTATTTTGATGTTGTCTGAGGGTTTTAAGGTTATTTCTTTTTAATTTTGTTTTTGTCTCTACATTGTACATTTTAATAATAGTACAGTGTGCATGCAAAAGTGTATAATTAGAGTATGTAACATAGTTCTCTCTGTGTTGCAGCCTTAAGACATTCTTCAACAAAACCAGAGACATGCTGTACTTCAAGAGACTGATTCAGATCCCCAGGCTGCCTGATGTAAGAGCACAGTGGGAAGGGAAACAGGAAATGATTTCACTTCTTACACAGTGACAGTTGTTGTTTCAAAAGACCTAAAATGCCCTTTTTTTAAAAAATGGTTTTGTTTTCCATTAATCCTTTTTTTTGTACCCTGGTTGGACACTGAAAGGTGTCAATAGCAATAGAGCAAACATCTTTTAATCTTCTTTAGCTATTAGCTTATACGTTATACGCTCATATGTTAACTATACATTGATGTTAGTTGTTAAAACCAATGAAAGACATAAAAGAAAAACACATCAAATTCAAGGGAGATGCTCTTGTCTGGACCTTCTTTAGACGTGCTTCTTTTTTTTTTTCTCTTTTTTTTTTACTGCATACTGTTTTAAACGTACTTTAAAATATATATTTTTATTTTTTCCCAAATGTTAACTACAGAATTGGGTTAGACAGCCTCTGACAGTGTTTAAGCAGCATCTGCTTTCCTTCATTTTCTCCTTAGTCTCCTCCTAACTTCCTGCACGCAGCTGCGCTGGCCAAACACGTGAGGCCAGTTGTGGTCATGGCTGATGAAGAACCCGAACAACCAGATGATGATGATGATGACCCAGAGCCACTCATTGAGGTCAGCGACATCTCCACATCCAGCATGGTGCAGTCCCAGCCTCAGGTACAACTACTGTCACACAGGTAAAGAGAAAGAAGTTGATATTTTGTAGATGTTAAGTCTATTTTTTTCTTTTTCTTTTGTCTTTTATTAGCCTGACATATTTGACCGTGCATTCGGACCACCTAATGGAAGTTTTGATGACAGGTAAGCTAGAGAAGGTTGTACTGTAACTTTTTCAGTGAAGAGGATCTGTGGCAGGTGATTCTGACTATTTTATTCCGACAGGGATCTTCAGATTGAGAGCCTCAAACGTGACCTGGATTTGTTGCGAGCAGAGCTGGAGAGAGTCAAAGCTGAGGTAAAAAAAAGCATCTATAATACTGAATGATGGTGGAATTGATTTTGAGTCAGCGAGTCATCACAGTGCATCATTATCTGTATGAAATGGAATCTGGGTCATGTGTTGGGTGGATGCAAATACTGCTGGTTACATGTGGAATGTGACAAGTAGCCTGTGAATGAGAAGTGACGCTGGTGTCGGGTTGAGTTTTTGGACGTCATGGAAAAAATTACAATTGGTTTACAATTTTTTTTTTTTTCATGTCATTTGACATGATTCCTGAAATACAGACTTTCTTCTCCCTCAGGCTCAGCGCTACATCACACAGCTCAAGTCCCAGATCAACAGTTTGGAGGCAGAGCTGGAGGAGCAACGGGCTCAGAAACAACGTGCTCTTGTGGAGAATGAGCAGCTACGCATGGAGTTGGAGGCCATGCGCCGCAGTTACGCAGATCATGACATGTTACAGAACACCTTCCTAGAAGCAGAGAGTAAGATATTCATTCAACACTAACTAAATTTTCATTAAGCTGAGAGTAACTGGTGCCCAGCTCTTGTACCAAAAAAGTGTAGACCTGCCCTAAATGTAAAACATACAGTAAAGCAACAGTTACAGGGATGGCACCATTTGAATAATCCAAGCAGAGAACCTAGAGAGGTGGAGGTTTGCACTAGAAAGAAGAAGAATGATGGTCAGTCGGAACAAGACACCAAGGGAGGAATTGTGGTTTTGTATGAGGAAGTCAGGAGTGGCAGAGAAGTATGTTAGTTTGGTGCAGGACATGTATGAGAATAGTACAACAGTAGTGAGGTGTGCTGTTGGGAGGACAGAAGACTTCAAGGTGGAGGTGGGACTACATCAAGGATCGGCCCTGAGCCCCTTCTTGTTTGCTGTGGTGATGGACAGATTGACAGATGAGGTCAGACAGGAGTCCCCCATGGACTATGTTGTTTGCAGATGACATTGTGATCTGTAGTGAGAGTAGGCAGCAGCTAGAAGAGAACCTAGAGAGGTGGAGGTTTGCACTAGAAAGAAGAGGAATAAAAGTCAGTCGTAGCAAGACGGAGTACGTGTGTGTAAACGAAAGGGAGAACAGTGAAATAATGAAGTTACAAGGAGCAGAGGTGGTGAAGGTGCAGGAGTTTAGGTACTTAGGATCAACTGTTCAGAGCAGAGGAGACTGTGGAAGAGAGATATATGGATGCAGTGAGCGAGGACATGCAGATAGTTGGAGTCAGAGTAGAAGATACAGAGAACAGGGAGAGATGGAAATCAACGATTTGCTGTGGCAACCACTGAAAAAAGGGACAAAGCCAAAAGAAAGATTAAAAATGACCTATCCACACCTATCCATTAAAAGGCTAAGCTGGCATGAACATGTTTGAGTGCACAGAAATAGCACTTCTAATAGCCAGTTCAAACTGTAATTAAGGTTATGTTCAGTCAGTTAATTGTGGACAGGTCTTTTTTAGCATAATATATGAAAATGCTCTGCTGTTCTCAACCTTATTTTTCCCTCTGTAACAGAGAATTTTTCTCTTTTTTTGTCACTGTGAATCACGTAAAGCTCTGTCATTCTGTTTCTGTCTGTTCCATGAATATAGTGAGAGTCAGGTGAATATGATTCAGTGGCCAGTTTGGCTGTGTAAAAATGGTTGCAGTGTTGAGCTTAGATGTACAGATCTCTAAAGTGGGTAAGCCAACAGCTAACAGATCAAAATACGAAAACAATAGAATATCACAAGGAGCATAGCAGCAGTGTCTTTAAAAGAAGCTCTGTCCTGTTAATGGGACCTGTACACTCTCAGGGGCATGGTGTTGGCGAGTGTGTAGTCACTGTGCTGCCATCTTTCATCTTTGCTATTCGTGCAGAAAGAGCACAGGCCACGGAGCAGCGCTACAACAAGCTAAAGGAGAAGCACACAGAGCTGGTGGGCAGTCACGCTGAATTATTGCGAAAGGTGACAGAGACACTTATTTTAAATCAGATGTCACCGCCCTATTGTCTGCACTTGGTAACACTATATTTGTGTTGATGTGCTCACAGAGTGCAGACACTGTGAAGATGCTGTCTGCAACCCAACAGACCCAGGAGGAGGTGGAGAGGACCAAACAGCAGCTGTCTTTCGAGATTGACCGGATAAAACAAGACTCTGACATGAAGGTGTGTGCTGTGTTTCACTGCTTCATAACTGTTGTCTCTGTTAATCTCAGCCATGGTTTTACCGGTCAACTGCTGTTTGTTTGTAAATACACAGCTGGAAGAGCAGAAGTTTGAGATGGAGAGGCTAAAGCGAGAGCTGGAGGAGAAGATGGCGGAAGTGATGCGCATAAAAGCAACAATGCAGACCAGTGAGCAGGTAAAAATGTGGTGCAGTAACTCTCTCTTTATCCCTTAGTTTTCATGGTCATTGTCAAGGCGGTTTTATTCTCGAGGCATACTGAAATTTGGCTGATGGACTCTCTGCTGCCATCTGCCCCTTCTAGCGTCCTTCACGGGTCTCTCTTTCTCTCTCGTTTCCAGTCAAAAGAGCAAATGAACAGTTCAATGTCAGCTCTGCAGGCTGAGAAGGAGCGTCTGATGAGATCTGTGAGTGAGAAAGAGGCGGAGCTGTCCTCACTGCGTCAGGCTTCGCAGCAGCACCAGTCGTCGCTTGAGCTGGAGCGTGAGAAGAGCAGCAGGGAGCTGGGAGAACTGCAGGGCAAACTGCAGGAGAAGGTTAGACAGGACAATAGAGTGAAAAGAAGTTCCAGAAGAAGTCAGCTTTCATGATCATTATATTCCTGAAATATTTATATTACTGTGCTAACTCAATTTCAAATTAGGTGTTTTATGTAGATTGGAAGATCTTGTGTGTTGGTGTTATTTAGGTGACGACGTCTACTTGACCTCATTCAGGTTTTTCAACATCAGCAAGTTAATGATTAGGTGCTTCCTTTAGATCCATAGAAAACCCTTTCAGCTGACATAGTATGGTTTGATTTTGTGCCTTCGCATTACCTGACTTGTGTATTACATTCAAAACACAGTGTGGACTATATTGCTTTTGTATATTATATTGCTAGCTAAAAAAAATAACTAACACTTAACTGCTCTGAATCATACCCTCCTTGATGGCTGGACTATTGAATTGCTTGCTAACAGCAAAATGACATAAGCCCTTTGGTGTACTTTGGCTCAGGTGTGTGTTGTGTGGTCTTTTGTGTGTAAATGCAGACAAGTCAGGAGGATAAGCTGAAGCAGAAGCTCCTGGAGGAACAGTTTGCTCTGCTGCAGGGAACCATCACCGAAGCTGAGAATATCATTCAAGATGCTGTCGCCAAGTTAGATGATCCTGTGCATGTACGCTGCACCAGCTCTCCAGGTCACATGTCTGCTCTCTGGTTTCCCACCATACAGTGCCTGTCCAAAAATAATGTCAACACATGTGGTTAAGCCTGCAATTAAGTACAGAACATTGATTGGTGTAAACATCTTCCCAAACTGTGTAGTCTCACCAGGGTCCGTTGATCCAAACCTTATTGAGAGTCTTTGGCATGTGCATGTTACACCTCTGTCCAACTGTTTTAAGTTTTTGGTAGTTCTGAGTGACCTTTTTTGGTCAGGCAGTATCTCTTACAGCATATGTGAAATGTGAAGAGGGAAAAAGTATTACACAGACAAAACTTATCCTTTTTGCGTCAACAGATTATCTCATCAGTCGTGCAGAGGCCACACTTGGCTCCATTGACAAAGTAAAGAAAGGCCATGGAGATTATTTGAAGAACATGGGGGGTGAGATTATTTTCTCCACATATTTCCTATTTAGCTTTTTGATTGAGTCATGAAATGTGAGTTGATTGAAAAACGTGGTACACTGCTCCTTTATCGTAATATTGTCATAACCAGATGCTGGAGGCCTGCTCAGGGCGTTGACCCAGTTCTCCCACTTGGCTGCTGATACAATTGTTAATGGCAGTGCCACAGCACATATGGCACCTACTGACCATGCAGACCGTGAGTACTTAAAAATTGCATGACCATTTAGTACATATATTAGGTTTACAATTAAGTCCACCTTTAAAGAGGCAGCAGAGTGATAAACATTTTAATAGTCATCTGTGATTTTTGCTCTGTTGCCCTCTGCAGGACTGACAGAGAACTGCAGAGGATGTGCCACTGAGAGTCTGCATTACCTGAGGGACCTGAAGTCCAAGACCACCCTGCAGAGGGCTGACCCAGCTGCTGTTCGCGTTATCGTTCAAAAGATCCTGTATTTGGGACAGGTCAGAATAATGGAGTATAAAACAATTGTTTAAAAAAAATTCGAAGCACATGCTGTTTCCACTGTGAATCCAGACCAGTGTAAATACTTCACAGATGTCATTACCGTATTTACAGTGTTTGTTTTCCACAACTGCAGATCAGAAAATGACATAATCAAATCACCAAATACAACATGACCATGCCCCTGTGTATTGCCACTCTTCCATTTGTTTTGTTTTTTCAGGAGCTGCGTCCTAAAGGCATGGACGTGCGTCAGGATGAGCTGGGTGATCTGGTCGATAAAGAAATGGCTGCAACATCTGCGGCTATTGAGGAGGCTGTCCGCAGAATAGATGTATTACTTATGATCAGACTTAGTTTGTTACATTTGTATTTTACTAAAGTTGTAAGATAATCATGTCTGTCTGATAAATCTAACTTTTTTGTTTTTTAGGAAATGATGAATCAGACTCGAAAGGACACATCAGGAGTTAAGCTGGAGGTCAATGAGAGGTCTGTTATGTTTTTGATTTAATCAATCACATACCAACTTTTAATAGGAAAATGTGTTCTCCATTTTTTCTTGTCAACATTTGGGTAAATTCTTATTGTCTGTGCAAGAAAGGCAAGAAAATTACAGTTTTTAATATATTTTTTACAGAATTCTGAACAGCTGCACAGACCTGATGAAGGTATTGTATATTTGTGTTTTTACACAGACAGTAATTCACATGAAATACTTAATAGGGACTCATGAATATTGTTGTTTTTTATCCTGCCCACTCAGGCCATCCGCATGCTGATCATTGCATCCACACACCTTCAAAAGGAGATTGTAGAGGGTGGGCGGGTAGGTATCTCTGTTTGGACTTTGGCTTTAAATGAACAGCTAGGTTTATTTTTTGCTATCATTGATTATTATTTTAGATATGAATAAACAGTTAATTCTGCTGATGTTTTTTTGTTCAGGGTGCAGCATCCATTAAGGAATTCTATGCCAAAAACTCTCGCTGGACTCAAGGACTCATCTCTGCTGCCAAAGCTGTGGGCTGGGGGGCAACAGAGATGGTGTAAGTTCACATTTATACTTCCTGGGATTTAACATTATCACATATATTTTAAAGCTGTTTTTGAAGGCTAAGATAAACAAGAGCAGTTTCTGAGTTATCTCTGAGTATCTCCCTCTCATAAATCTTCCTAAACACAGAGCACTGTTGTGATAATTAAGTGATGTTTAGTCCACATAATGATTTTTTTTTTGTTATGGAAATTGACAAGGCTATTTTCTTCTCCTTCACAGAGAGTCAGCTGATAAGGTGGTGCTGCACACAGGCAAATATGAAGAGCTGATTGTCTGTTCTCACGAGATTGCTGCTAGTACAGCACAGCTGGTGGCTGCTTCCAAGGTAACTCCATCATTACGACTTATTTATCATTAACCCACATTAGCAGCTGGGTACACAGTATCAGGCAGAGAAAAACTTCACAGCATTTCCTTATGTGTTAAAACAGTCGATAATCGCAGGACTTGCCAGATCACTGTCTCAAATGCAATCAAAAACCTCTAGAACTTATCAACTAGCTCCATCCATTTAATGCTCTTTGGGTCTTCTTTTAGGTCAAGGCTGACCGCAACAGTAAGGGGCTGACAGTCCTCCAGCAGGCGTCTCGACGTGTGAATGAAATGGCAGCTAACGTGGTGGCTTCAACGAGGACAGGCCAGGAGCACCTGGAGGAGAAAGGTTTGTCTTGTTTTACTGTACTCTACAGTGTGTGTAATTTTAATAAATTTAACTTTATCTCAATATTTAACATATAGATACAATGGACTTCTCTGGAATGTCCCTTATCAAGCTGAAGAAAGAAGAGATGGAGTCACAGGTAGGTTTATCACATTTATCCTCGGTCTCACCAACATTGAACTGAAATGATGAAATATACTGTGTGTACACACTACTGTATGGTTTTGGTTTGGTTTATGTTAAAATTTAGACAAATGATACAGTTTGATTAGAGATTGATTATATTCTTCAATTAACCTGTCTCATAAATGTCTGTATATATGGACATCATACTGTTGTAATTGAATGCATTAAAAGAAAAAAGATGGTATCTTGGATTAGTGAGCAAAAGAATACTGTATATTAAAATAAAATAAACTTCTTTGTATCCAGTTAGCTGTAAAATTCTTAATTAATACTGACTTTGCTCCCATAACATGTTGAACTACCAAACAGTCAAAGTCACATTAGTCAAAGTGTAAACAGCACAGTACAGTAACATGACATACGGTTTTGCAGCAGCTGAGGTGATTCATAATATCAAATGCACATCAACAAAACAAATAACCAGTCATATTATACAGCTGACTGTATTTAAATCCATAGTGATTTGGCTTATTTAACTTGACTCGTTTATAATGCAATATGATTCCAACTGTCTTCAAACATGGCCATTCATGCACTCTGAAGCACTTTTGCAAAAGCAACAGGAAATTTCAAAAGTTTAGTGTAGATTTTTAGCAAAACATAATTGTAGGTAAAAAAAAATAAAGAAAAAATAAAGTCCTTCATATTACACTAGAATTTACTGTGATTTATTCACATGCAGTAATGTGAAAAAAATTATAAAAACCCAGAATACTTTTGATCTTGGGTCATATTGTATTGACTTTTTTTCTTTGTCCTCAGGTGAAGGTGCTGGAGTTGGAGAGTCATTTGGAAAACGAGCGTCTGCGTCTAGGGGAGCTTAGGAAAAAGCACTACGAGCTGGCTGTAGTTCCACTAGAGCAGCTTTCTGAGGGGAACAGTGTCTCCACTTCCTCACCAGCTCCTCTTGCGTCTATGTCGCCCAAACCTTCCAAACCTGCTCTGATGAAGAAACCTGCACTGGCTCAGAAACCCAACGTCCTACCCAAAAATCCAGTAAGTTCTGAACATAAACATTAGAGTTTAACAGTTTCAAAAACATACATTTGAAACAGGATTCCTCAATGTTTTATCCTTTCTACTTCAACTTTACTGTATTTATGTAATTATAGTATGTACTTAACTATAATAATAATTAGGGAGGTTAAAATAAACGATAATGATAATGAATATTTTGTGAAATCAGATTAAAACATTTTAACACTAACTGAAGGATTTGCACTGAATTTATTGTTATTTTGTTATTTTCACATACTTTAAGTCTGATGCTATTGAGACACATAGCATTGAGTCTGAGTATTGCAGCTCTTGAAGTGCCCTATATTGTACTTGCCTGCTGTTATTTATCCTCCTGTCCCAAAGATATACTGAAGAATAAGTGATTAATTGGAATAAAAATTGTCATTTTTTGGATAGCCCTACAAATAATGTTAAAACTATTTGTGGAGCTTTTATTATATTTATTTTAATCTGTTCTTTTGTGTCTCTTTCAGTTCAAATAAAGGCCTGGGCAGAAGGAACGACTGCTGCACAAAAGTTTGTTTTGACCACAGAAACGTTTCCTTTTTTGTGAACATGTTGACAATCTCCACTTCCTCCTCCAGCATTTTAATTATTTTCCTTTTTGCCAAAATGGGCTTAAAGCCTGATTTGTGATCCCAGAAGGGATGCATTGTCTTAATCCCCCTTTTAAAAAAGAAAATAAAACATGCATGCCAATCAGGCAGAACCCTTTTATTTAGGTACATGGCGCTAGGAACAATAGCATTAATTAATATACTTTAATGCTATGTGAAGTTTTTTTGAGTGTGTTTCTGGTATTTTTGAAATATAGACACTGTCTTTAGAGTTACGGCCTTAACTACCACAATCAACAGCATATCTTTGACACTACTCTGTTTGGAAATTGCCTTGGATGAACTTTTTGCACACTATTTTGGACGCATGTTACAGAGCACATTTCTTTTGTTTTTTTTCCCACTAAATGTACACATAAATGTTGGTCATTTTCTTTGTGGCGGGCGTTAAGTTTGTTAGCTTCTCACAACGTCTGCATCCATGCTGCTGTGGATCTTTTGACATACCTCTGGCTTTGCCTCTTTGATGGACAGTGTTTCGTCTGACATGCAAAACAGCTTCTTATGCGCAGCAGTACAAAAATGTGTCAGAGGCCTTGGAATGTACTGTATTTTTGAAGAAAGTTGTACATTGTGAAGAGAAAACTGTTCATGGGACGGTGTGGGTTCTGCAACTGGAATCAATTTAAAGCAGATCATTACATATCTCATGAATGTCCCTTTATGAGAAAACTACCTGGATGTAGTTTTATATTTTCTAGACTTGAGTTCTTGCATACAAATGAGATGTAGGTGTCCCTCATTATCAAAGGCCTCTTTAGTGCTGATTATAAGGATTTAGGGTAAGTTGATGAAAGACTTTATGTCCACTTTGCCTTTGGGTGCTTTTTTTCCAACAGGGTCTTAAAATATATATCTGTGCGTGTTCTGTCATTTTCCTCTGTATGAAATGTCTTTATACCCTCAGATCTCTTAATATATTTTAGTAAAGATGAAGGTGGTTTCTCCCTGTAAGAAGTGTACATGTGAAACAAATGAACAATAAATGTTTGATTTTAGCAAATAATTGTGTTATTGCTTTTTAAATCATGTATGAGGCCATTTACAGTATAATTTCATTATGTTCTATTGAAGACTCTTTAAATTTATATAGATACAACAATTCACGCTTGCAGTAATACAGTTTCATATTAATTGGTTCGGAGTGAACAATCAATCAAAGGAAGCTACCTAATCTAACTGGAGAAAAACCACACAACACATGCAAACTTCACAGCAGAAGTTTTAATATCTCTGGTGGGACAATCTAAACTTACATCAGAAATGGTTGGTTCCATGTATTGTAAGACAGGAGAATGACTGTCAAAATATAAACAAGGATATATGCCAATAAATATATTGTTTTTTTGGATTTTCATGGACTCCTGATGAGTGCCAATATATTATGATGTTATTGTACACTGTCACCTGATCTCAAATATTAATCTCTGCAATGGCAGTTTGCATCTGTTTGTGTTTATGGTCATACATCTGCTTATAAATGTGTACGTGTGTAGCAGTTTGGGGGGGGGTGCAGTTGTCCTTTTTTGCACCCATGATGTTAGGCTTTGAAATAAATATGGTTACCACTTTGAGAGTGCATAACGTGTCACATTATCTCAATCAAACAAACTTGTTCTCGCTAAACTGACTGATTTATTACCTGTTCATTCAGTTTATCAAATATATTTCTAGGATTGGTGCCCTATTTGGAGCTCTAGCAGAAGCTAAGCTTTGCTGTTAATTGGTTAAACGTTCAACTTGTTCTCAGTGTGTCAGCGACAAACTCGCACTCAATACAGGTTTTCTCCATGTTCTCGGTGGTACACGGTTGAGGCAAAATTAAACTGTTTCCTTCACCGCGGGTGTTGTGATTCTATAGAGTCAGACTGAAGACGCAGACTGAATGTTATGTGTAACTACGCGCAGAGAGGACAGACATGGACACCCGTCTGCAGTCCCCGTTGGACAGGCTCACGGCGGAGCTGACCGTCACTACGAACGAATTACTCTCTGTGAACTAATCTTTTGCTATGAACGAATCACTCTCTGTGAGCTAATCTTTCTCTGTGAACTAATATTTCGCTACGAACGAATCGCTCTCTGTGAGCTAATCTTTCGCTGTGAACTGATCTTTCGCTATGAACGAATCACTCTCTGTGAACTAATCTTTCGTCGTGAACTAACCTTTAACTATGAACGAATCACTCTGTGAACCAATCTTTCGCTTCGTTCTCGCAGATTCGTTTCATTTGTCACGTGACAGAGCTCAGCTCTTCACATTGTGGTGTGTTTTTATTCCTTAGCTTTTCAAATGGTTTTAATGGCTGATGGCATTTTGTGTACTTTGTAGACTTTGTCAGCGGAAGCAAACCATGTTGCCTTATTTAGTGTCGGAGAACCGCAGCCTTCTTTACAACGCCCACAATAGGGCTAAAGCGCCACCTGCTTTAAAACGAATGAAATGATTAGTTCAAGATTCGTTCACGACTCGATCATTTTACTGTTCGAGAGTCAAAGACTCGAATCAATAAAAAGAGTCGGGCTTCCCATCACTACTAAAGTGCCCCCTGCTGTAAAACGAATGAAATGATTAGTTCAAGATTCGTTCACGACTCGTTCATTTTACTGTTCGAGAGTCAAAGATTCGAATCAATAAAAAGAGTCGGTCTTCCCATCACTACTAAAGTGCCCCCTGCTGTAAAACGAATGAAATGATTAGTTCAAGATTCGTTCACGACTCGTTCATTTTACTGTTCGAGAGTCAAAGACTCGAATCAATAAAAAGAGTCGGTCTTCCCATCACTACTGTACATGCATTTTAGACTTTAGCATAAATTATTTTGGTTTTCTCTATCTGTGCAATTAAGCGTTGGAGCAGGTGGTTGACTTCCAGAACCTGCGCTCTCAAATCACTCAGCATCAGGCTGAGAACAAGAGGCTGTTGGTTAGCCTCTCTGAAAGAGTCTCCTGTTACAGAACAACACCTGCAGAAACAGGAAGGTGGTTGTTAGGTTTATTCTAACATATGTGACGACAAAGTAACAACACAAAAGACGTCTGGATCTTTTACTTGCAAGGGGAGAGTGCGGCTTGCTCTTCTGGCAGCTTCCTCATCAACTCATCATGTGATCGTGTGTGAGTATATGAATGGGTATGGAGTAAGAAGGTGGGTGTGGCTGTGTCTTGAGCACACTAGATTATAATATGAGAAGCAAATAGTTTCTTAAAGGGACAGTACAGCATGAAGCAATGATAATAAATTAAATTCTTCCAACATTTCCCTCCTGTTTATCATTGATGAATGCCAAAATCTCTTATCCTGCATTATGGCTCCTGAGGCTAGGTTTTTCATAACATATTCACTTTCATAGCATACATAGTCTCCTTTGCCTTTATGAGGAGTAAATGCTCCTGTTTTGGTTTTATTTGGTTTTTATTAGAGATTGGTGGGAAGATTGAGTTAATTAGATCTATTCCAGTCTGATCTACTCCAAGGACCAAATATATTTCAGTTTGATTTGTTTTACCAGAGAGTTTTCAATTACTCCCCGTTTTTTCGTAATTTAGTCCAATTCAGGGACATAGTGATCGGATTTTGGATGTTGGAAAAATCACGTTGGATTTTCAATTGATTCCAAATGTCTTTGTCTCTGT